ATTCTGACATAATTTAGATGGAGCTTGACTGGGTTATGAATTTTTTAATTTTATTCAAAAATAGGCAAAAATGGCTTATCTCGTATGATATAGGTTTTTGAAACTTTTTTGAAAAACAAATATTGCCCCGAGATCCAGCGTGATCGATTACCTATCTTTGCATTCGTTGTCGAAATTATCACTTCTAAAGAAATAGGGACTCTCAGGCAATCCGATGCCATGCCTAAACTACGAGAAACTAAGAGTTTGCTTAGTTTCTGTATTGGAGAGGACACTTTGGACTATCTATCTATGAAAAAAGATCGACCTATTTCTATGTCAGTTTTCAGAGATTCAAACAGGTTTTCCAAAGATCTACTCAAAAACTGATTTCAGACTATTTAAAAAATTCTTTTTTACTTGTGAAAAGCGAACCTCAGGTGTCCGTTTTCGATTGCTGAAAATCGCAACGCTCTATCTTACCCTGCTATTGAGTTATTAAAAAAATGGCAACCTGCACTGTATTTTGTCGTCGATAATAGTGCAGCTATAATGTGAAATAATAGCTAACTAATTCTAATGGTAATGATTTTTTTTTTTGGAAAAGCTTGTAACGAAGTTTTGGGAAAATACTGTATTTATAAACAATTAACAGTTGTATCGAATGCATAATTCAGATCTTTTCCATTTCGACTTTTTTTTCTCAAATGGTACAATTATTATACAATTCACTCAAATGTATAACTGGCATTTTGCTGTATGTTAAACTTTTGATTTTCAGAATGTTTCTACGTTATCTCATTTGTCGTAGGCTAATAAAACAACTTGTGAGTCAATTTTTTAAGCTATCATATGTCGTTCTTCTCCTTTCCCACTCTACTTCGGTAGGTATATGTTGATGATTGTTCTTCATTATTATTGATGTCTTGATTTTTTTTAAACCAAAATCTATCACAGGAGTATGCAAAAAAAAACAGAAACAGCGAAAATTGTTGAAAACGTGCTGTTATATCTAGTGTCATCGTCAACATCCGTCTTTTAATCATCAATATGAATAAATTCTATTTTTTTGTTTCTTTTTTTCTGACAAATGATAGATACTCTCTCTCTCTCTCTCTCTCTCTCTCTCTTACCAGTAATTCAATTCCATTATTCTAATTAATACTTTTTCCATGCTTCCAGGTTTTTCTACTTCTTTTTCCTTTTTTTTTTTTATTTTAACGTTGTTGAAAATAATAAAAATGTGAACCGATGAAAAAGACGTGAAGAAAAGAAAAGAAAAGAAAAGATAAGGGTTTTTTTCCTATTCTATAAAGATAATAAAAGAGAAAAAGAAGGAATTTCCGTTCAATAGTAACTATATGTATTTGTATATAACTCAATTTATAACATGTAAAATAAACATTATCAATAATAATTAATTGAAGTTGCCAAGTTTATCTCTAAAATGTCAGTATCATCAATTGTTCGTCCATCGATATCTAGTGTTGCAGGTGTTTCACCGAGTACTGATCTTAGTCGTCCGTCAATTCAACTTTTTCATCCTCCTCGTCTAAGTACTACATCACAACAACATCTAAATAACGGTTGTTTACCATCGTCTACACTTGGACGATTATCACAAGCTGAAGTTCTCTCTCAAACATTTACAGTAGGCGGTCATCATTCATCAAATACAAATTTAAAATGTAGTGAAATATTACGATTAAAATTAAAATATTATTTATTAACACTAACATTAACGATTCTTTTAGCATTTTTATTAATAATCACAATTGAATTATCAATGCAAGTATTTCATTTTAATCCAACTACTACCATCATTACAAATACGACAATAAATAAAACTATTTATAAAACTGAACTAAAAATTCATTCATATTTCTTTTGTACATGGATATTTAATTTTCTTTTATTATCATGTTTTCCATTACAAATAACTATCTATAAATATTGTGTGTCAAAAACAACTACGACAACAATTAGGTAAGAAATTTATTTTATTTTTTATTTTTTTTATTTTTTATCTTTCAATATTAATTTGATATTTAATCAAAACTTTCTCCTTGGAAATTATATATCAATCGTAAAAGAGAGAAAAATATTAGAACATGTTTTTTACTTGTAAAAAGATTAAAAATTGATGGACTATTTTAAAAGTATAGAGAAAAATTTTTCGAGAAAAAAACGAACTTATTGTTATACTACAAAAAAAATATGTTTTACAGATGTTATTTCCTTTGATGTCCTGACTGTCAGTAAGACGAAGAATGGATAATATAAACTTCAATTCTTCTGTTTCCTGGTCACGATTATCAAAACGGTTATAAAATAATGAAGGAAATCTTTGTCTGCTCGACTGCTTATCCACGTAACCAAAATTTTGAAAAAAAAACGTTTATATTTTTAGTCATATTTTCTAAACAAAAGAATTTATAAATATGTGAACGTCTACAAAATGTTCAGCACACTTTTTCTCTTTAATTTAAGACGTCATACAGCTCTGAACGTGTCATCATTCGAAAAATTATTGAAGAAATAAAAATACATTTAAAAAAGAAAAAAAAAAAGAAGAAAAAGTAGAATAAAATGATGTTGAACTAGTGTGAACTTCTATTTGAATAGTTATCATATTGTTAACACAAAATAGAATCCGTTTATAATTCAATCATGCATTATCTATATACATTTTTGAAAAATATTCTTTACAGTAGAAAAAATTTTTCATGTCAAAATATAATTTGTTTTTTGCATGAAAGGTTTAAATAAATTATGAGAAATATGACTTTGAATGATTAATATCTAACTTAAAAAGTCAAGAAAAAAAAAAATGTCTAATTTTTCACTACTTTTCACTCACTTCAAGAAGAATCCTTGACTTTTAAGCTGTTTATACTTCGTTTCGTCAAATTTATTTTGTTTTATACATTTATTACCCAATAATTTCATAGAGACATTTTTTAACATATAAAAAATACAAATAAATATCATTAATATTTTAAAAATATAAAATGTTTTATTCTTTTTTTTTTTGTTAAAAAACAAAAATAGGACTTTTTAAAGTATCACTTAAAAAAAAAAAAAAAAAAAAAAAGCGGAAAAAAAAAAGTGGGGTTTTTATAAAAAAACAAAAAATTTTTTTAAAAGTGTATTTTTAAAATAATATTTAAAAAAAAAAGAGGAAAGCCAAACGATGTGAAAAAACGATTT